GTCGAGGTAGACTGAGTGCAAATCAGCAGTGTGAGTTGGGGATATATGACATCACCCTCCACAAAGGATACATTGAGGCGATCCCTAATCGCAGTGCTAATATCTTATTGACTATAATCCAATGCTTAATGATGCCTGGAACCACTATTCATATAGATGACTGAAGTAGTTGTAATCAGCTACCGAGCCTGGGCTGTATTCCTCACTTTGTCAACCATACAAATGATTTCATCAATCCTTTAGATGGAATTCACACTATTCTCATCCAAAATTTTTAGATTCACCTCAAAAAACTAATCAGATCTTGGAATGAATCAAGAAATGCGATGATATACAGTTATCTCAATGAGTTTATCTGCAGGCCTTGGTTTAACACAATTATGAAGACTCCTATGAGAAATCTGGAGGTTTATTTGGAACAGATCCGATAACGCTATCCTTTGTAACTATTTTTTAACATTGCCTTACTTTTACATAAACGTTTTATGCAAATTAGGCGCTGTTACCATAGATGCGTCTGAGTAGTCAAAGTTGTCGTTGTAAAAGTGATCTATCCGTTCGCTAGGTAGTTTCGGTTTGGGCTGCTATAGGGAAGAGTCAACCATTATATAACGTTTATTGAGATTCCTGGTACACACAGCCTGGGAAACAAAAAAAATAATCCACCTGAAGTCTTTAATCATTCAGTTATGTTGCCGAGTGTCAGAATGTACTCCTGCACTTTTCCTAACTGGCTTTTAACCGAATTATTTACATTTCTTGAAGAAGATATACACGAAGTATCATGAGAGAATTGATTTGCGATTCAGGTCAGACAGCAATGTATCATGCGATCTGCTGTCAATTACTACACTGCTTGAGGATCCTGGATGGAGAGAAACTATTATGCAATAAACGTTACTGAAAGTTCTGTACACTATAGAAACACTGTTGAGAATAAAAGCTATTATCAATACTATAAATATTGACTTACTCAGAATGAGTATGAATTGTACCAAATATACCGCCTTCATGAAATCTGTGAACAGTAACTGTATCTGAAGTGATCGTTTCTTCAGAGTTAATATTCGCTTCAAGCCTTATATACATATGACTGCAGTAACCTCATGACAGAATAGGATACATATGGGCGTTTCCGAATGTGTAGAAATGTATCCTTTATCTTTTGTTGAATTAACATGTACGGCTTGATAAGTCTGTCATTTTTGACACATAGCCTTTTAGATCCTGTTGACAAACTGTTTATCGCATCCATGAAACATTAAACAGTTCTGGATTATTTCTCGATTTGCTTGTTCATTCCTGTTTAACAAACTGTATGCAGTAATATGAAGTAATTACTAATGAAATTTCATATGATGTATTCATGTTTTGGGGTTGCACTCATAACGACCTAGAAATTTGTAGGAATTTCATTATCGAACTGACGCTGGTTCCTGAAATAAAGGCCTACTTTGAGAGTAAATTATTTACTTGCAGGACACACTGGAGTAATCCTGCATTGATCAACTGGGAAGGAAGCAGTTATCACATTCCACAACTCATGTTGATGAGTGATATGTGTATTCGCTGTGTGATCAACATGTTTGAAGTAACATGCATACACTGTTCTTCAATAAATTGGGTACTGTTTTAATGAAAACCCCAGTAAAGTTACACATCAGAGAGTGTTATTTTTTGGATTGAAACGCTCTTGGTAAAGTTTGTAAATAAGTTATAATAAAACTTGAGGTATTACTTCATCAGATCACGCCAGTTAATCAACTCATAAAACACGCAGATAAAGGGTGAGACCTTGTGGTAGAAATCTTCAACCACTGATAACTATTGACAAAAATATCAGACATCAATATATCGAACAAGAAACGGTACTTGACCCAACTCAACGTGTGGTATTATGAGGAGAAAAATGTCTTTATATTTGAGAGTGGCATTAATCTCGGCAACACTGTTGGTAGTTGTTTTCAGCTGTCTATTAGTCTAAAGATGTCCGCACGACAGCGTCTCATATCTCCCAGCTTATGCGTGAAGACCAGTCCCCATGTTTCTTTAAAGTCAGGTAATATTGGTAGTTTGACGCTTATCTAGTCTACAAAGGTTAGTGGATGGCATCTGACAGTAGTAGTCAGCATCGTTGGACTGCTCTTGACTTGGAATATTCTCCTTCAAATCATGTAAACTGAGCTGTGAGAATCTTCTATGAATTGGCAGCTAAGTGCTGACAAAACTACTCCTCTGTATAAGTCAATATCTGAGGTTTATATTTAGGTATTTAGAGCAAGGAGTATAACCACATTCGAGTGACCGGTTGAATACACCCATACTGAAACCTGACGATTTCATATGGAGAATCATAGGTGATCTCACGTTTTCATAATGTTAAAGAAATAAACCATTCCACTTGATGATCTACTGATTAGTATTAGCATTTCAGTCCCTTTGCTCACCAGAAGCTTCATCTCACAATACTGCAAGTCTGCTAAGCTATAATGTTCCAGGATTACCGAAACATAAGGAGGCAGATTTCAAAGATAGTGTACTAAATACCTACAAAATATTTATAATGCTCTTATCTTTAGTGTGTCCTTTTTGTGAGATATTCATTAGGTGGCAGAACGTTATTCATATAAAGGTGGGTAATTGAAAGTGGAATGAATATCTGGTTGACGATACGCTCCAAACAACTTTGTATTACAATGCACACCTCGTTACTCAATTCGCCTTCAGTCGATATCAACCAGCTAACCAAATTCTGCCTCAAATTGCCTCGGTTTGTGTGAGGCATCTGACATGTGTCATTATTGATTCACTTGACAATCGCGAAATAGTTCCAGCTAATACAGTGAAATAATGATCAGGACAGTTTGTAATTTTCGTATTTATATCTCAATATTGTTCCATTTGCCTCTGAATAAGTGATGAGCTGAGGAATTCACTCTCTGTAAAATGCCTTTATCCCTTGATCTGATAAACAGGAGAGAAAATGGTAGAACCATTTTGAAGACTTTTATTTCACTGTTCACTTACGTGAAACATATAATTATTGCCATCTCTAAAACTTAAAGCAGGAAAATTCAAATACCCACACCACATTCGTCAACGGACACGTCGAATTCGCTGCCTCAATGGGATGTCTTCGATACTGTTATTGTGTGCTCAGCCATTCACCAATCGTGCAATACATCAGTGACACAATCAAGAAGTTATGCCGACGCAAATCGAATTAATGGTGTAGAAGTGGGAATAAAATCTATTGGGATTCAGTTTTTCAGAAGATACATGACTGATTGATACCAGTTGGTGTCGGGTAGTGTTAGTTATTATAGCCAAATATGATTGGTTCAGTTTAGATTGGATTATTCCATGTAATCCATAATAAATATTGTTGGATATATCTTGGTCATTCTGTTCGTGAAAAGCTTTTCGGAGAACTTGTGACTGGTTTGATTGATTGTGTTGGTGATGAAGTCAAATTGGAATTTCGTGTTGAACATGAGATCTTTAATCGTGTCTCGCAGGGTGATTTAATGAAGTATCTCACGTGATCTCCTACACCCAAACTATAATGGGAATGATATAAAGTGCGTGAATTTCAAATCGGTTGTTCACTTATAGTAGAAACTGAAATCTGGCAAATTTACTTTCCCACTTGTCTCCTGTACACGTCATGGTAATTCAAAACAGACAACGGATAGGCTTTATTCAGTTTGGTTATAATTTAGTGAATCACTGAAGCATGAAAATATGCATGAGTACTGGCACTAGGAAATGCTAAATCGAAACGCGAGTCCATAAGCTCTCTAGATATACATTCCATTAGGGAGAATTGATTTCCAAGATCAGGCATTAATACACTGGTACCGCCTTGATGTAGAGTTTGGTAATCGATAACAACTGAACTCCTGCAACGTAGGATATATAAGGTTGCGAGTCGCTTGGATTGCATACAGGAGTATTACAAGGCTGGCTACCTGTTATTAGCCACAATGATGTACCTAGTTGTGGCGACCTGGATTTCGCGTTAGACAGTGTGTGTGGAGAGAGAAGACAGGAAGAATTTGAATATATAAAAGGACTGTTGGAGATCTGGAATTCGTGTGTGATTTGTGTTTAATGACACACAACCTCGAATACCTACTGGCGAAAACAAAGAAGTTGTCAGAGGAAGTGATGAATGGACGAGGTCTAGTAGAATAAGGGGTGATGAAAGTAACGAACAGATGAGAAAAGCAAACAAAATCACTATCATTATTATTATTACTATTATTCCCTTGCGTTCGAAGTGGAACATAGGGCTTCATCAACACATCTTCAGTTTGTCCCATCTTCTGTCATGCCCTTCAGCTTGGAACACAATTGCCCACAACCACTTATCTCCTCCTCACAAGATCTCCTACGTGTCACCCGCGCAGCGATGACCAACTCGTTGCTATCCACTGGGTTTCCACTCGAATGCATGGCGCATGATGTAATTCAACGGTCTCATCAGTGTATGCCAGATCCATCCATGTCCATTTTGTCCTACATATTTGTTAGGCAGTCAGCTCTTGGCTGGGTTTTTTTCCTACACTATATTGTTACCAATTCTTTCTGGCCATTTTATCTTCAGCATGGAGACAGAGAAGGTGGCAGCTGTTGATGAAATTCTGCAGTAACCTGTTAGAAATCTTTTTCGTTACACGCACTACAAGTTTCTGACCCGTATAGAAGAACCTACCGACTTGATATTGGTGTTGAAAACCGCAATCTTTTTCCTTATGCTGAATCAGTGCAGAAGATTTCCAAACTGGTTTCAAGTTGATGAAGGCTTATCTTGCCTTTCCAATTCTGACTGACTGGCTTTGACATCTGTAGTTGAAGGGATGTTTCCTCGCCAGATAAGTGAAGGATGCAACCTCTGTTATATCTCTCTCTCTTTATCACCTCGATCTTCGCTAGTTTCACTTGAAGATCTGTTTTCGCTAACTGCTTCTTCAGTCAGTGTGTTGGTTTTCGTCTGAATGCAAGTCGTCAGGTTAGTGTGACATAAGACATATATCATCTGTGAAATTCAAATCTTCTAGAGTCGTCCTATCGGCTGTCCAGTTTATTCCTAACATTTTCAAAGAAATTGAAGTGTCAGAGAGAATTAAAATGGAAAATAAATCAAGTCGTCGAAAGCCATACCATCTTCAGCAAGATAGTAGAGTATGACTAGAAATTAAATTTTGGCACTAAGCTAAACACCTCTCTACAAGAAAGGCCACAGCTTCACCCATACTTAGGACAAAATTCCTGTAACCAGTGGAAGCTATTTGTCACTTTTCTGATGGTATTACAGTAGGTATTTATTGAGACAGAGTAGTCAGTATTGACAAAGCGTTCACCGACGGCACTCCTTATTTAGCCATCACGACTTTCTTAAAGCCAACTAGGTAGTTTTTATCAAGCCCCATCAGGTTCGATAAACTGTGAGTGTACATGTCTCTATAATAATAGGTGAGGTGATGTGTATGCACATGGAATCGGTCAGCTGTGAGACCTTGTTTTCTAAAGACGAATGAAAAACTTGAGAACACTACACTTACTGAAGCTGAGTAGAAATTTCAGAAGGATTTTGACATTCTGCTCTCAGAGACATTGCTTGTTGAGTCATCTTTGAAACTAAAGCTTATGTTGATTTTCTTTATCCAGATGGGTAAAATCTCATGCCTTTTAACACTCCAGCTGATGTTCTTCTCGGATATTTTCTAAATTGAATAACTGGCTTTATGTGTTCTCGAGGCCTCCTGGATATATATTAGCCCACATTGGACCCCTTTTTTTAATAATAATGATTTACTCTATTCCAAAAACAGTACTTTTGATACAGAATGGAATTTTCAGCATTAATCACAATATCGCATCTAATTTCCTCAAATTATAAATAAAAATTAATCACACAGAAAATTTTCCACATTTACAATAGAGGTAATGTCAAAAACATGCAGCATATAATATGGAAATAATAATGATAACAGCTAAGGTAATAATAATACAAGTGAAAATTGCGGTAGGCTTGTTTCACACAGTATTGGCAATGCGATATAGAAATCCTAGCATATTTAAAAATATTCAATATAACGTTCTCTTTACATGATATGGTGAGGGGAAAAACAAAGATTACAGCAGTCATAGAGATAAGTTGGTGTTTGCAATTATGAGAGTAAAACAAAGAAGTATATAATAGAAATAATAAAAGTAAAACTTGAAGGTATATAGGGATGGATGGAGGAAATTGTTTGTTTACTAGATGAAAAAAGGTTAGTTGGTTCTTGCCTGACACTAATTTCATCACATAAAATACGTGCCAAGTATGATATCATAGACTTCTTATACTTAGACGTGCGAGCATACAGTTTTCTGAAGTTACTTCTTGTTCTACCTGAGAAGATGCAAGGTGAAGGTTGAGGGTAAAGCGGATGCTCCAAGTCAGACAAAATCCCTTTAGCAAATTTATTGCATGAAATCAAGTGCCTATCGACAACGACGTTAACTATGCAGTCCACTGAGACACCACTCATCCTAGTGATCGTCTTAAGCATTCTACGAATTGTGACATAGTCCTTTTTAAACAAACCAGGAAAGAATAAGTGTGAACAATAAAGAAGAATAGGTGGGACGCAAGAGTTTATGAACTGTAAGAGGAGGGGTTGAGTTAAACCCAAGTGCCTTTACTTCTTCATGTGAAATGTCAGGCGGAATATTTTACTGGAGATCGCTAAGACATGGGAAGACCAGGAGAGATCACAAGAGAGAAAAAGTGTGCGTCGGTGGCACAGTGGTTATGACTCTCGCCGATCATGCACATGGTACAGTGTTCTATCCCTTGCGGAGACACACACCTAATATCTATGGTCGGCCTGCAAAATTCTGGCTACCGATATCACATGATGAAAATTCTCCACCTGTACCAAAAACAAATACGGTGTGGAATCAAGCTGTGATCAAAACAAAAATACTTAATTTCTGATTTAATTGATATATCATTGTTGTCAATCCTACAACTGTCATGAGAATCGACGACTCCTTTTAACTGTCTTTCACATTTTAAGCTGAAATTAACAGTTTGACATTTAGAAGGATTCAGTTTAAGGCCGTTTGACTCAGACCATTTGCTGACTTCCGATAGAAAGCTATTTATTTTAGTACAATCTAGCTGGGAGTTAACGGCCATTGAAACCGTTAAATCATCAGCGTACTTCACAAAGTTTATTTCATCAGAGTGAGGCAAGTCATGCAAGAAGAAAGAAAAAAGAAAAGGAGAAAGGACAGCGCCTTGAGGGACACCAGCTTCAGTAGGCAATGAATTGGAAGACTTCCCTTTGCATAGTGATCTAATGTCTTCAGTTTTATGAATATCCTCTGACAAACACACATACTCAATACACATCAGTATGAATATGCAATTTATCTTTAAGTAAATAAATGCTCAATTTATTCAAGACTGAGACATCTCTGATATGGCAGACAAGCTCATCCATCAAAACTGTTGACAGGATGTGATCATTTGTTTATTTTGAGTTGATTTACGCAACATTACGATTATTACGCAATATATCTGCATGCAATCAGTAGCTTTGTATTACAGTAATCCATTAATGTCATTTTTAATTCTGATATTAATAGGCCACACTTAATTGTAAGCTGTAAAGGCGGAACCCCAGGGAGACATGATGTTGTACAACATTTCTACAACTTTTGTTGTTCATCCATCCGCTCAAGTAATTGTTAGAAGTACATTTTATTTTTAATCCACACACAGAGACAGCGTTTAGAAAACAGGAATAAACAAGCAACCTTAGGCGTACTACATACAACACGAATAACTGTATAAAGTTTTATATAATGCAATAAACAATTTGTCAACCTGGAAACAAATTCTAAATGTTATAATTTGACAAATCTATCAAAAATAGACACTTTAATCTTGATAAGACAGTAAGTAAAGTTTTGATTCTACTTGCCATGAAGCTTCTTGAATCATACGTATATAAGGCATGAAAAGAATGTTGTACTCCGAAGAGATAATTACTCTAGAAACAACTTCTATCCCCAGCACTGTAATGAGAACGTTATATTTAATACAAATTATGCTAGTTCTCAGTAAGTTAACATATTCATTCTGATATTTATATATTTTGATGTATAAGCTGACTAGGTGATTTATTGAATCTCCAATTGGGGAAAATACTTCTTATCCTTATATAAGATCTGTGGACACGCTTCACTCACTTGAAGTTCAAGTGAAAACAGATGATATGAAGGTTCTACGAAATCGTGGTATTTGACCGTTTACCTATTTAACCACAGGATAGCATATTGCGTCATTTCCTTTCAGTGGTTGTCGATGATGAAACATTAAGGAAAGGGAAGGTCTTCTCCTTCTTTCTATCTTGAAGTTCAAAGTTATACTTCCATTACTAATTTTATTTTGGGTATATCTGTGCAAACGCTTCCCAGGATGTACATTCAGTAAGTACTACACCATCATCGGCGTGTTCATTCATCTCATTATCGAAATTCAGCTGTCTACAGATTGCTGAACAGACCTAAATTACAAGAGGCAATACATGAAACTGTTACATTTTCAAAAATATTAGTATATTTTAGTATATTTTTTCCATATTAATGTATGTTGAGCGAATTTCTTAACCATAGCGTAGATTAACAGCGATGTTGTACTTACTCTATTTCAGTACTTGTGAATTTGCCATCAAATCATGCCAGTGCCAGCTTTTTTGCAAACTTCTAGGTAACTACATTTATTACTAATATTGTTACTAGCTTTATATTTATGAATATATACTTAAATGTAATGTGTTAAAAAAAAATTTCGGATTTTGGCAAATTAATTTGATAAATGTCAGTAATTATTGTTCGGAAACTAGTGGATGGCAGATTGAACACCTTTTGTTTCATTGGACTCCCAGCTGACAACATCTGACAAGTGTACAATTTTCTCAAGAATCCGCATGGCTTATCATATTGTGATACTGTTGAACAATAAAAATGCACTTACATCCATCTGACTAATCTGAAATACTTCCAACTTCATTAAGGTGTTCTCATTTGTTGTCTTCATATTTACTAGGAGATGGCAGAACAATATTAGGTAACTGCTTATTTATACAGGAATGACATATTCGGTTCCTGACAGTGGTCATGTAGTTAGCACGCCAAGAAAGCGAACTTAATATTGTGATCAGTGTAGAGCTTCCGTCTCAATTTCATCGTTGACTCTTGATAATATCCAAGAAGAAATGTTGGCTAGTTTTGTCATGATCAGCTGTTTTGTAAATGATAGTTATTTGTTGAAGGCGACTGGTTATTTGCTTGTTAAGATTCCTTTATATAGACTCTCTTTCTCTCCTGAAAGTAAAACGACAAAATTTGGAATTATAACTTTCCCTCACTTCATGGCACGTCTGCGTATCCACATCTTTGCCAGTAAAATCTGTAATCTCATTCCATAATACGTTTATATTGTTTACCACAATCTTTATGCATTTTACAGAGTTTTTCAAATTTTTTACATGTGTAAGTATTCAGTTTTTTATGGTATTCGATTATATAGAGATACAAGCAGGCACCAGTCACAAAACTTGATATAATACTCACTACTTAAATTATTGTCACTTTAGTTTTGTTGACATATCACCGATTTAATGTCTATAAAATTTAAAACATGCATTTTAAACCACTTCATTGGAAAGCATGTGGAGAGGGTGAATTCCCCCACGTCAAATTCAAAATATATGATCAGATGATGCGTACTAAACAGCTTTTACCCTGAATTTCATCGCTACAGAGTTGAAATATGACTGAGCAGTTTCTTTTAACAGGATGAAATTAAACAAAAGGCAAGAGACGTGTAAGTGATAATTATGACTGAGGTGAAACATTTTACTCTTGTTGTACATGTTAAGTGGAAACCACATGACTGATGAATAACTCGATGAATCGCTAATTATCAGTCGTTGTATCTTTGAAATTGGATATTTCTTCAGATGGCGAAATGAATACGAATTAACTGTAGACAATCCGAAGACTCTTTACATGCAAGATTTAAGAATGATTCCATAGACGTTGTGGAGCATATTGTTTGGTTTCTTATCTTCTTTTGAAATTATAGTTAACATGACGTCTAGAAATCGACTTTGCATACTGAAAACTGTCGATTTTTCAACTTATTTTAAGAATTTGTCTAGTGGAAGTGCTTAGTGTTTTCAGAATAAAAACTTGTTAAACTGATTTACAAAGTAAAAATGATATCTTAAAGTTTCAAGTGTAAGATTTAGTTATGAAATAAACGTCATTTAGTGAGAGAGAGAGATACTGCTGAAAACTAGAAGGATGCAGTGGATAGCTGTTTCGTCTCACTTTGTGACTCTTCATTGATACGCATCCGAAACCCTACCGAACGTTGAATATGACACTAAACTTGTAAACTATTCATCTGCCTGTGCTGGAATTCATTTACCTGTAAATTCAAACTAGTGTATACATTATGGTAACTTTTGTCACCTCAGTAAAACTAACTTTTGTAGACACATGTATTCAAATATCAATGGATTGCATTACCCTGATGGATCCAAGGTTGATCATATGTTTCAGCATGAATCAACTCTACGAACAAATTGGCGTGGTCTACGTTTTGTTGTAACCATGTTTTAACTCTCAACTGGTTTTCCAATGACTCTCCATCCAATGTCAGCTCATGATGAAATCCTGTAAACAATTCAGTCAAATCCCTACAAACCAATACTTGAATATCAATGAGATGCTCACTGGAGACTGGCCCTATTCAGGTAGGTAGTTAACTAAGGTTTAGGTGGGAAGTCTTGGACAGTTGGGTACGGTAGGTCGGGTGTGAGGACAAATACTCGCCGAAGACATTGTCTGGCGGTCACGCTATGTCATGAATTGGCAGAAGTTAAAATTCACACACTGGCCTTTGGATCGCCTTCCATTAACATAATGGTCTACGAGCTCGCCTTGTAACCACAGGGTCCTAGGTTCGAACTCCGGTGGATGCGTGCTACTGAAGAGTTCCAAAATAAGCTGACGAAACAGCTGTCCAGTACTCCCAGCTGGTTTTCTAATGGTTCTCTAACTAATGTCAGCTCATAATGAAATCCTGTAACCAATCCATCAAATTCCTGCAAACCAATACTTAATAATTAGTAATATTATGCGTAAAATGATATTTCTGCAAGGTTTTTATTGTGAAATTCTAATGTTTAATATAGACGTGATACAGTTAAGGAGCTTCGGAGAACATTTGTAAGTCATCGTTTATATACCATGTAAATTGTAAAACCATTAAGTAAAGAACATGAATTCAGTTATTTTTGATTGATTTAAATTTCCAGAAATGATTCTATTCAGCCTGTGAGTTAATTCTATGATAAGTTATTCAAAAGTACTATGAACACAGATAATACTGGCCTTGAAACATAATTTTCCCTTTTTTAGAAATAAAAACGACGAATGTGGTAGAACAACTTGGATTCATTTTCATGATTACTTGTAGGTTCGTTCAGACTTCTTCCAAACTACAAAATAGCTTTCATTACATGGATGTCAGATAAGTGAAAATGGAGAGTAATATGATCTCTAGCCAAATCAATAGCTACTTATATATAATAGTCATGATTGCTGAGTGAGACAAAATCCGTGAAAACACTTCATCTAGATGATAAAGTATATTTATAGAATACTTAACATGATTTTATTGATATATGGCCCAAAGTGATTTGGTTCTCTCGTCTTAGTCGACCGTTGACATCAGTCCTGAACAAGTGGAATGGTTGTCTTGTGACAGGCTCACTACTTTCCAAATAACAAGCACTACTGTTAAATGTGAATGGCCTCAAAATACGCTTTCACCAATCCACCAGTAGTATACAAAGTACCAAATAATATTTTTATATACACAGTTTTCATTGGATTGAGTAATATCTGTCTTCATTTTTAATAGCGTCTATAACTAATGAACATGAACCATTTTGTAAACGTCTAATTCTCTTTGATGTCCTCTGATCACTAATATTTTGATGTTTTCGTTCCTCTATTTCAGTATTTTCTAAAAAATTCTTGTTTTGAAGGCCAGAATTACAGACTCTATGAAACTATAATGTAATATAAAACAAGCAACAAAGATTAATAAAGCGAGATTTGTTGAATTCATCAAATTTGAGTAGAACTATTCAGCTGAATACTCTGTATGCGGGGATATATATATATATATAATAGGAGATATAAGACCGATAACCAAATAAACTACATTGCATTAAGCATGTCAAAAGACACGTGCGAGTGTTTTCGAGAGATTCAAGTTAAGAAGAAATGTATTGCGCTTAAATTGCATCACTAATTTTAAACAATTAGTCACTAGAGAATATATCAAGAATTGCGAACTGAGTAGTATTAGTATTAATAGTAATAATAATAATGCTGAAGTGAGTTAAGATAATGCTACTTGTAAAAGATAGTTTTAAGTGAATCAAGAGTATAAACATTATTATTATTGTATCCTTTAGTTCCTAGAGGAACATAGGGCTTCAGCTGCGCACCTCCATTGCCTTCGGTTTTCTGACAACTTTTTCACCCTGCTCCAGGTCTGTCCACATGCTTTCATCTCCTCCTCGCATGATCTCCTCCAAGTCACCCTTGCACTGACGACCAACTGGCCGCCTCCCTTTCGGGTTCCACTCGAGCAATCGCTTTTCTAGTGATGTCACTTGATGGTTTCCTCAGAGTATGGCCAATCCATCTCCATTTCTTCCTGCCTATTTGTTTCACAATCGGTTCCTGCTCTGTTGGTTTGCTCATTGCCAGAGATCCCTGTTGCTGATCTTTTCTGGCCAGGCATCTGATATTGAGTATTGAGCGAAGAAAACTGATGATGAAGGTCTGAAGTTTGTTTGAGATGCTCTTTATGACTCGCCAAGTCTCTGATCCGTATAGTAGCATTGACTGACTTCACATTGGAGTTGCAAATCCGGATCTTATTTTTGATGCTGAGTGCTGTTGACCTCTACACAGATTTGAGAGTAATGAAAGCTTGTCTTGCTTTTCCGAATATGGCTTTGATGTCCTCG